TAAAAAAAAATAAAATCTATACAATTACATGAAAGTAAATCTTGTTCATGCATTGATGGGCATCCCATAAGTGTCCGTGACCTCCTTGTAAACACAGGACTCCTACTAACTTACTGGCTGTGAGTGATGCTAGAACAAATCTCAGAGAAGACCAAGTGCATACTGAATTTGTATGTCTGCTTTTTTAGCTGTGGAGCTGTTAAAAACTGCAAGAATTCTGTTCCACATGCTAGGAGTAAATGCATATTTTTAATATAAACAAAACCAATGGAATAGTTCTTGCTCAAGTTATAAACCAAAATCAAATCAGCTTTGGCCAGGACACTGTGTGGAAACTTCAGCCTGAAAAGTGAAAACAATAATGAAAGACAAAATTGGCTCCAGAATCACTATCATGGGAATCACTGTGCAGCTTTTACGGAGCAGCATCCAAAGGAAAGTGTTTTAAGCAGCAAGATTCCTGATTGCCCAATAGCAGCTGAGCATTAAGTAAAAGTCAAACAAAAGTAAAACCTTACCCTTAAAGTTGTTACTTAACTGAACATATTGTAAAATGCTTCACTGGAGGGCGATGACATCTCATAACCTCCGTGTCCAAGGGCCTGCGAGAAAGGAATGGGAGCTTGCTAACTTCTGGGGCAGGTAATCCTAAATTTCTCCAAGATTTCTCTCTATTACAGTTTATAAAAAGAAAACCAAGGCCAACTAGCTTCTCTGGTATATGAAAAAGCAAATCACAGGATGGACTTCTGCCAGACGTGAACATAAAGAAGGCAGCACCCGTCCTCTACCTACCTCAGATTAGTGTACTAGCTGGAAAGACATCAGTGTTTCCAGGATCCTTGATGCACTGTAGAATCACAGCTCTCTTTAGCTACCATCACTTGTGAAGGAAGGTTGAGCCTTATCCAAAACCGCTTACAGTTAAGTAAAGGCATGTATTGACTTCAATATGTTTTAGATTAGATCTTTATTCTTTACCTAGCCATCTTCAGGGAAGTGAACTGGCTTAACTCAGCATCCAATCCATGCACTGGGTATTAGACTTGAATTTCTTACTTAGTTTGGGATACTAGGCTTCTGCCGTCACCGCTCCCCTCCCCATTCCCCACGCTTGTAAGGCACTGGAGCTAGCTCGGGTGCTAACGAAAGAAGCTCAGCAAAGGTGAGGTCAGGAGCATAAAGGCAAGAAACCTGACAGACCTCAAATCTAAGTTGTGTGTTGGAAACAAACTCCAAAGAGCTTTCTTTTCCTTATTTCCCAGTAAAATATCTACAGAGTGTTTCACTTAGCGCTTCCCCAAACACGGGGATCCCAAAATAGCACCATCCACAATGCTATTCTCTGTTACATTAAATAAAAAAGAATGTTATTAGCACCACATCTGGCATTGGCTTTGATATGAAACATGAGCTTAAATACTGATCTTTTTTTACAGGCATCCCAGTATACAGCTGAAGGAAACAATGTGCAAGAGTCACATCCTACACACTGAGCAAACCATGTTAGCCTGTACTGCAGAGTCAGCCTGGGATGGAAAGCCTCATCTACTATTCATATTGCAAAAAATAAATAAATTCTAAAATACAAAAACCACCGAAAAGAATATTTGTATAGGTTTTAGGGTCATCTCTTAAAAATTATGAGCTCAATGCTGCTCTATGTTTCAGCTCATAGGGGTCATTCAACTTACTGCATTACCCTATGAAATTTGGTACCCAGCCAAGCCAGTAAAGCCAAGGGCCCCTCTGGAAATAAACCACTAGAGGGAGACTGACTTCAGCAATGTCACACCACAGGGAGAAAATCCTGCACATCATTTTAAAAAAAATCAAGATTCAGTTACCATGTGCTCCCTATAGCTCACGTCAAAATTACTCTTTGTGTTTCTTCTTCACAAATAAATTGGCTGAAACTAATGGGTCAAGTTTGGCTTCGTTACCGTAAATTGAGGGAGCGTCGTGTAAATGGGATCAGGCAGTCACGTATTCTTCTACAGTTTTAAGAGAGGTTAGGTCGACTCTATTAAAAAAAAAAACCACACCAAAAAAATACCCCAGCCACTGAAAATACTAATAGCTGTATCCTAGCAACATCACGGATTCCATGTGGACTTTGTTCTGGAGTCTACAGTCTTATTTCATCAAAATTATTGACTTTCTCAAAGTCTCTAAACAACCATCAAAAACCAGTTAGTGCTTAAAAAATACACACATTTAATTAGTCACATTAATAAGAAAAAAATAAAAGCAGCATTGCATGCTGGCGCTCCCTTTTCATAGAGCTCAGTTTAGCTCCCTTTAAAATCAGTGTCAAAATTCCCACTTTATTTATTGGTAGCAGAGCTGGGTCCCCCCTTTGAGAAGAAAAGCTGGAAATGGCCCTACAGAACTTGGCAGATGAGGTTTGTTTCCCAGGCTGGAATCAGGCATTGCATGGATGAAATTCATGCAGCTCTCCACAATCCTCCCAGTCATCATGTCCTTATTGTAAAGGTAATTCAACTGGCATTCAAATGATATACAGAGGCTTTCTGAAGGGCTTTTCTGCTATGCATATAATCAATGCCTTTTTTTTTTCCTGTTTTGTTTTTACTTAACCGCAACAATTTTTTCAATATCACAAAAAATGTGAAATCCTGTTGGAACTTCCCAAAAGCCCATACCCTTCTCCTCTCAGATATGAAGACTTCAGGTTTAACAGAGCTCTGGGAGGTTTTCCCTCACCAGCCCTGCATCACTGAAGTGAACTTTATTAGATAAAATGCAAGATTAAAAGGCTAAATAAATAAAAAATAAAACAACTCAATCCTCCCAAAGAAAAACCCTTCACACAAAACAATTAAGAAAAACCCAACCCCCAAAAATAAGATGTTTGGCATCCTTAACAGCTTGCATGATCCTGGGGCATTTTGGCATTTAACTCAGGGTTTGGGCAGGCTCAGATTTTGGTCACAATTTTCACTCGGCTCCAAACTACATCACAGCTTTTCTGACAGTTTTTATCTGTTATTTCAAGCTCTATTTCAGTAAGTTAGCAAGACCTTTTACCAGAGAGAAAGTGCTATTAAAATAATAGATTCCTTTTCATCAGCCTGCCTTAAAAGCTCAGTTGATAGGATAGTCTGGTAAAAAATGTTTCTCACACTTCACTTAGCCTACAAAGTTGGTTGAGACCCATGAACACTTCTAAACCACAAAACCTTATTAGGTGCTAATTCTATAGTTCAAAATTAAATTACTTAAGAATGCCTTTGTTGAAGAAGTGATTTAAGTACGGAGGGGTGAGCCACTTTCAGCCCTTGGAACACGAAGCCGGTGATGGCTTGATTTGAATTCCAGACGTGGCATTGAACTGTCTGCACTGCTCCAGCAGCAGTGGTGGGGAGCCTTGGGCTGACCCCCGAACCACTGCTCTCGGTCATGGGAATATGCTGCTGGATTATCATCCCACTCCAGCCCCCTGGCAAGGGCTCTGTGCAAACAGACAACACCCGTTTAACGAAGAATTTAGCGTTCAAGTAGTGTTCACGGACTCTCACAGTTTTAGTTACACTGAAGGTTTATACATAGCTCATCCTTTCATTTCCACCAGCTGTGGAGAGGGAAGGGGCTGTAGGCAAGGAGGGGATATCCATTTTTACAGAGTGACAAAATAAGAGAGCAGTTCTGGCTCCAGTCTAAGCTGTGCACAGGTATAAACCAACAGGAAAGGTAATATATAAGGACAATAAGGCAGCAAAGAAATCAGCTTTCAGATTTTATTTACTCAAGTTAAAAAATGGTATCAGAAGGTACTTCCAGCACCTCAAATAACTCTCCCCGATGACTAGATTAATTCCAAACTGCTCCAGGGAGAGCAACTAAACAAAAATTTGAGAGTTGCATACCAAATTATGTTTCTAGTTATACCCTGAAAGAGTGTTGTTGGGCTAATTTATAGCTGGGTAGTATGTAAGATGAAGATGCTTTGACTAGCCAAGCAGATTTTATTTGAAGGCTCTCTAGCATTTAGTAAGAGTAGCAACTGCAGCCTGTTGACCAGCTGCAGCAGGATGGATTTTGATGGCAGACACTGTAGGCAGCGAGTGGAGAACAGCAAGGGCTGAATTCATACTAAGGAAGTAAAAACCTGCTTTCACAGTGACTTTGAAGGTGAACTTTCAATTGTGCGTTACCTCTTTTTTTTTACCCAGTGATTTTTCTAGACAGGCATTCATAATAAGTCTATCCAAAAGCAGTGAACGGGTAGCAATGGAAATAAGTTGTTTCATAATCAAAATAGCCCCCTTTTGTTCTGAGGCTGACCATGCTGTCCGTGGTGAATTTTCTGTTGGGTGCTAAAGGCCATTTCGCCATGGTGAGGGCGGTGGGTTCATCCTGTACTGCCCAGAGGGCGCGGTCCCTGCGCAGGGATGGCAGCTTGCAAGGGCTGCAGTTAGTGGGGCAGGGAGACATGACAACGCAGTGTGTAAAGCCTGTTGTTGCCTGTTTGTCCTGCTGCCAGGTTTTACCTCAGCCCTTGGAGATGGCTGCAGCACACGCATGTATGCATGTAATTAGGAATACACTTATTTATTGCAAGACATTATAACCCTTCTTGCTAATGAAGAACTTGGGGCCTGAGAAACACCACAGTGGCAGAGCCAAGGGCTGGCAGTGCTCCTAAAGGCAATAAGCTGCTTATCTCCGGCCTAAGGAGTTTATAGCACCCATGTATCTCCAAAAGCTCATTAGCTCCTCAGTAAGCAGCTGAGACTTTCTTTACATGCACAAGCAGAACAGCAGTGACTTGAGGTTGCTACAGCACAGAGAAAATTTCTGGGGTTGGCTAGTCTGCAGCAGACTGGTTCAATAGCCCGAAGCAATCCCACTTATGTATAAACTGGAGAAAGCCTGATCTTGTGAAATGCTCCTCAGTATCCGGCTTTGCTAGTAGGAGAGTGCGCAGCCAAAACTCAGCCCTGAGGAGGGGCTGCACCCGCCTCCCTGGTACCCACCGAGAGCTGAAACCAGCAGGGCATGGATGGCATCTCGCAGCATCACCAGCCACAGCAGCGGAGGAAGCCACGCGCCCCAACATGACCTCACACTGCATCTGCTTCTCCCTTGCTCTGCACTCCTCCGGTCACTCATTGTCCCCAGGGCAGAGGGGTGGGAAGTGCAACCCAAGCAGATGGTCTCTATCCCGTGAGAGAGAACTACAAAGAAAAAAAAAAAAAAAGAAAAAGAAAAAACAGAAAAAATCTGTGCCTGGGGAGGTGACCCTGGAGATTTTATAGGAATGGCTTTTCATAACTTTCTCGGCATGTCCGTGGGACTGGATCTCAGCTACAAGTTCCTGTAGAAAGCCATCACGTCAGGGATATTTCCTGTCTCACTGCGGCTATTCCCCATGTCACAGGGGAGCTCTTCCACAAAAGAGCTGCTTCTGAAGAACAGCGTGTCACCAACAATTCAGTGGGTTAAGTTTAGCAGAGCCAGTGTTAGAAGTGAGCAGGAAGGAGCTATTCTTCCCCTCTGCTTTTCTTCCTTCTCCATTGAGCAAAGTCTTTAAAGACCAGATCCCTTTGCAGAAGGCTACAGAACTTTTAGCAAGTAGCATGCATGGAGGCATTCACAGCCATGATACCTGTGTCTGGTTATTTCCAGTCAAAATAATCTCCTACTCAATTATGGAGAAGAATAGAGAAGCTCAGCCTGACTCACAATCACATGGGGGAAAAATGAGAGGAGTTGTTCAAGTTCAAAACGTTCAGCTCGCTGTGGAGGAGGATTAGTACTGCTGTGGAAGGAGGCTTTCTCTCCCTCTGCAGCAGCACTGCACTGAGGGATGGAAAAGACCCGAGTCCACTTCCCTGCTGTGCCAAATATACTCCTCCGTTCTTCTCTCCTCCCTCCCCAAGAGAGCATATGAAGTATTAAACAGCTAGGAATAAGCCCTTGAAAAATGTGATAGCTAGCTGTCAGATACCTCTCTGCCAAATAGCTGCAGCTCTGTGACTGTTCGCCTGCAGATCCTCCGCTGCCATCCAGGAAATCAGGATTCAACAGTGACATTAATACTCTCATCCACTTCAGTGTCATCTGTACATTTTGCACCACTGTGCTAATACTTCTGAGAACAAGACCACATCCAAAATGCTTTATTAGCGCTTTGCTGAGCATAGACCCAGCCTCTGCTAGCCCGTGCTCTTCCCAGCCTGACGGCAGTCCCCAGTGCCCCATCCCCAACCTGACATCTGGATGCTCTGCAAGCGAGAGGTAGGGCGAGGGTTTTCCAGTGTTGGTTTAAAACTGTCTTCATTTCACTGGCATGTACCATGGCTGCACCCCGGCTACAGAGGGCAAGCATGACTCCCGTGCAAAGCAGTTATTTTGGGTAGTACTCTAAATTTCGCACACATAAAACTTCTCACGCTGTTTTCATGTTAGCCAGTGCCCAAACATTACCTTAATGTGTCATCTTCTGTTCTGTCGTTGTCACAAAGTATTATCATGATCCTTATAAACACCCACAAACCTACCTCATTATCTCCTTGCACTCCCTCCTCCCTTTGCAGGGATGAGTGATAGCCACGGTTACACTGATGCCATTCCCTAGGCTGCAGCCCCGCTGTTTGCTCATCCTCCCCCTTCTCTAGGGTTCACATCAGCTCCCCTTCCATCTCACAGTTAGATTTTAAGTTTCATTGGCAAAGGGACAGCTTTTTGTTTTGCTTATGGAGCACCTTGGCCCCTGACTCACTCCATTAGGTGTAAAAATAACACAAATAATGAATGTCATCCAGAGACCAGTCTGGGAATTACAGGAAACTGGGAAGAAGGATCCAAATCTTTCTTGTGCCAGCATCCGACTCAAGCCTCTGCTATCCCATTCTGCTCCGGACTGACCTTTCCATCTCCTTGATTACTAAGCTTGAAAACTTTTCCTTGCCTGAATTATCTGTGACAGCAAAATTTTTTTGACTGACTGCTTTCACCTGTCCTGCTTCCCAGTGGCATCTCGGCCATGGAAGGGCTCTCGGTTTGTCCTTCAGGCATGTCCAGACATTTCCAACTTCTTCCTTTATGTCACACCAGAGATAACACTGATTTCTACTGCAGTAGTACCAAGGATACAGGTCACTTCTCTTTCCAGAAACGTTATGCAGAGCTACCAGACACAAGAACACAAATAACACCAGCAATAATAAATGCTAAGGCTTCAGGAAGATTATCAGTGACTGGTGGAAAGGCGGCAATATGCCACAGTATTTGCTGTAAGAGTCTATATTTCAGCTGTCTTCCCTTTTCGAGGCAGTGAGCGGAGAACATGAAGAGGCAGCCAATTCAAGCAAAGCACGCTGAAAGGTCAGGAGAAACCATCTAGCTTGTGCCGCACCATTTTGTAAGCAGCGAATAGCTCTTCATTAAACTAGTTTTGTGAAGGTGATTGAAGTGAGAAAGGGAAATAGCTTAACACACTCATTACAATCGTTGGAAATTACCTGTTCCCCACAACTGCTGTGATGGATCTGGCTGTTGTCTGGCTATGCCCAAATCAATACACACCCAGCGTTTCCAGCCCCTGCCTGGGCACCAGAGGCAAGGGCCCAGCATTTCAGCGCCGTGCCATGTCCAGGGGGACACCCGTGTCATGGCCAGGGGTACACCCATACACAAGGTGCTCCCACTGGGAGGGGGGCTGGATGCCTGGCAGCAGGCACAGAGTTGAGCAGCACCGAGGGCAAAGGCTTTGCTGTGGGGATACCAGGGCAGTCCCTGCTGCTCCTTTATACTCTTAATAGTGGCCACCTCCTCAGGCACCACAGTCCCTGCAGGCTGGAAGATCTCCTTGAGCAGCTCTGCAACAGCAGAAGGGGTTACAAAATACCCTATTTCTCATTTTTTAATCAAATACTGTAAATGTGGCACCGTCCTAAGGACCAAGCTGAGACTGAGCCTGGGCGAGGACCTTGGTTGGATGTGATGGGTCTGATGCAAAGAAGAGGTGAAGCACCCTGAGGTGCAGGCATGCCTGCACAGGGGCACCTGTCTGGGGCAGGGAGGGCTATGCCCAGGAGATCAGACCAAGTGCTGGGGTGTAAAACAGGCAGAGTTATCCTGGTTGGTCTAACCCCACATCAGCCCCTTTGGGAGGTAAGGAGCCTGCTCGTATGAAAACTGTTAACCCCCCACCTGCCCCTTATTTTCTCCTTTCCTTTTGGCTGTTCCTGTAACGTCACACCTCTCAGCCAGCCCCGCAAGGAGACTGGCCCCAAATTCCTGGCTCACATCTCCTATAGTGCTATATAGCATCCCCAAATCGGGGGAGCAGGCCTGGGAAGATGGATGAAACACCATTCCCTGCCGGCTCTCCCCTCGCTACAGGTGGGAGAAAGATGAGCTAGCAATTTGCTGCTGGCCTGGCAAGATAGCAGTGAATTACGGCAGCTCCTGAGCCAGCTCAGCTGCGCTGGCGAGCGTTCAGGGAGAGGAGAAACCCTACCCGTAGGCGCGGAGGAGGGAAGCAGGTGTGTTATTCACTTTTGCTCACTTGATGGCAGAGATCACAGAGCTAACACAGGCCATAAGGTCTTCTCTGCTCCTCCAAAAAGCCATACACCCCCAAGGACAACTGATCCTCGTACTCGTGCTTGGCAAAGTGCTTTGGCTGCTGTACCCTGCTGAGCAAGAGTCTGTTAATGGGGTCTCGTGTTGCACCGGGGACAAGTGAGGTACACGGTGTCCCCGGCTCCTCCAGAAAGAGGATGCCAAGGGACCTGATGCTGGTGCCAGGGCTACCTAGGGGACACTGTGCACCTGGCAAGCAAGTCACTGCACAAATGTGAGAAATGCCTTGAAAATTGCACAAAGCACTGAACAACCTGCAGGTAATTCTCTGACACAGTGAAACTTCAGTGCAAATGGGAAACCTAACTCAAAACAGCTCAGACGCACCGGTAAGAAGCAAAAAGCAGCGTCAATTATCTGCCGCTTTTTTTTTTTTCCCCCTCTCAGGATTTCTTTGCTCTCCTAGTACTAGCAATAAATAACAGATACAAACCAGATCCACAGGCAAATGAAGTGCTGTGTGCAATTACAGATTGCCCTCGACATATCTTTGGGCCAAAGTCTGGTTTGGTTCCACCACTGTTAAATGCCAGGCGTTCAGCAGAGCAGCTCTGGATGTCTGGTGGCACAATCAAGGTCAGTGCCTGGCCCCTGCCACATGCAGTGAGACTTTCTGAAACCAGCCAGAAAGATCTGCTCAAAAGCTGCTCCACTGACATCCGCTTTTGGGGCTGATGCAGATGATTTAATTGCTATCGTTTCTGGAATAATGCTGAATTTACTGATGGCTTTTAATAGAATGCTCAAAAAGGATTTCAGACGTGTCCTTCACAAGAGGCCATGAAGGAAACTCAGTAACTGTAGGATAATTGCATTAGCATCTCCAGCGAGCCCAGGGCTGCATGTTGGTGCGTGCCTTACAAGGCACACAGAGAGGCCTTGCTCTACATACACAAGGATGGCAAAGTGGGAAAGGAGAAGGATCAGCATCTCACTGGCCTACATTAATTAAACTGCCCGTTAGAAACCCACACCAATGGCACGGGTGCTAGCAGCAGAAGCTCTGTGCTAGCCAGACCAAAGGTGTTTTTTACCCAGCTCACAAAAACCTGCCCAGCCCTCCACCGGCCCCGTGTAACCAAGCCTGGGAGCTGGGCAAGCCCCTGCACAAGGCCACTGAAAGCATCCATGTGGGTCAGGGACACTGCCACCTCCCCTCCCGTTCTGCCTTCTGGGGAAGCCCAGTCACACCCCAAATGTCAGGCTCCTGGCTTGCAGAGGCAGCTTTTCCTTGATCACACTGAAACCTTTGTCACATGAGTTTGCTGCAAACCTCCTTCCCCTGCAAACCTCCCTGCCCAGCAAGGGACCGCCGGCCCCGATGCTGCGCTGCAACAGGCTCTACTGGAGGTACCTCCCCTGCGTGCAGAGAGAGGGAGAAATGGCTACATGTAGCCAAAGCACACGGGCAAATGTGACACGGGTACATCGCCAACGCATGGAGCAGTGCGATGGTGAATGTCTGGA